CTGTTTTAATGTCAGACTTCTTTTCATGCAAAAATATTCCGGTTCGAGATGTAGTAAATTAATCCCTTTATACACAAGTTTCATCATTTGTTCTGGTATTTTGAATTAGGAATACACATCAGGACACTTGCTTTAAGAAATTCTAAGTCATGTTGCAAGATCACAGTCTGGACCCTCTTGCTTAGGCAAAATTTCCATTGTCGGAAAATAGATAGATATTTTAAGTAGTCTAAAATAGAACAGTGAGCCTGGATGTTCACCTGCAATAAAGCTTATCCAGGTTAACACATAAATAGGGAAGTAATAACTGCCTGGATACACCCACATTGGCAGACAGGATCTGTACTTAATGAGAGATTTTTCTTAGGAGCAGCAGCAGAAATTCCAGAGGTTGACACCGGATATTATTTTAATGTTTAATTCCCATCAAATGTAGGGGCTTCATTTTACCAGTCCATCTCCAAAAAGCATGTTTTCAAACATGTGAATCTTATTTATCTAGAATCTGATATTCATATTAATAGCTGTCTCAAGGTGTGTCTAATTCCAGCCTCTGCATCCTCCATTTAAAATACGTAAACATAGCCTGATGTTTACATCCTCTTCTTCAGATAAGAGCTGGCATTTTGTCAGTAGAACTCATCTTCTAAACATAGCTTCTAAACTCAGTTTATTATTTATTGATCGTTTTTATGATGTGAAGGAATACTAAGGATCAAATAGACTTTTCAAAAACTCCTGGCAGCCACACATTTAATATGCTACACTGTGTTGCTTAATAACGACAGGGAAAAAAATTACGAAGCCATAGCTCAGATGCAACAACTTTATGGATCATATCCATCCCAGGGGCCATAGTTTCCCCATCCTTTGCTTAAACATCGTAGTAATAAAAATCAGGGATCTCTACTTTCAAAAGTGGATGGCGACATCTTATGCCCCTATTATTTTGGTAAACTGCTGAGATAGATACTTCAAAGAATTACATTTCCAAAAGTCATATTCCCACTAAAATATCACAGATTACACCCTTAAATAAGAAATTCCAGTTATTAACTGTAAGTGTAATATTTAGGGCTTCTAAAAAGCTCCTATATTCATTAAATATAGCCTCTACTTGCAGATACTTTCAGGAACTATCCTCACCTAGGAAAAGCCAGGTCCAAAAGTGAGTCTTGATGTTACTGCAAAAGCTGACTGAAGGGTCTCAAGGTGGAAAAGATATCTGGGAAAGACTGAAGCAGCAGAGGTGCATGAGATATTTGGTAGGCACTTGCCTCTCTCAGGGTATGAAGACTTGCATCTCTGGCCAAATCTGCTCCCTTTAGCAATGGCTCTTCCAGGGATAAAGATTGAGCCAAGTGAGCCATATTTCCTCCCTCAGAACAGTCCCAAAAGTGCACAGAATGAATGCAGCTGAGATCTGAACCCTTTCTCTTCATCCCATCATCTTTCAGAACAGAAAGGGATTTAAACAGGAGCAACAAGTGCTAAGAAAACACCTTGTTTTTTCCTACACTGATTATTTAAAGACTACCGCAATAGTGTAACAGTGGACTCCAGGGCCACTCTGAACTGGAGAATTTGGGAAAGCATCCAAGCTCCAGGGCACAGGTATAAGGTCTAGGTAGCCTCTTTCCTTCCTATAGTGACACCAGGATGCCTAGAAACCCTTCCCTGTGCTTATAACCGCAGAAAGTGGTTCTTTCTAGGTTCACAATCTAGGTTCCCAGTGCACCTGGAAGCCATGCATTGCTCTGAGGTCCTTGAGCAGGACGGTCACTATACAAGGACTCAGGAGCAGCAAATCAGGTCAGTGCAGATTTTGTTCAGGTTGGAAGCAGGCTTGCTCACTCAAAACTGTGCTTGTGGGTGGCCTGAGTGTTCAAAGGCTCCCTCTGCTATGATCATCAGAAATCAAACACATCGGAGAATGTGACACTGGATTTCTGAATGTCTTTCCAGAAACTCCCATTTTATGTTGTCACCGACCTGTGACAACAGCCAGGGACAAGGTACTTTAAGATAGTTCTAAGTAATTCTCTGGAGCCATCTCAGACTAAAGCAATTGAAGTGCTGTAGCTCTTTAAGGATGCAGGCACTGTGAGATGCACAGGGTTCCTTTTCAGTTCCTCCCGCTAAACCTACAGCAGAGATGGTGATGACAGATGGAGCAAAGGAACTGGATGCCCCCTCTTTGGCAGCATATTCATTATTTGTGATTTTGGTTTTCATTTGGGGGCTTATATTGACATTTCAATGGACACAGGATGATCCTACTGCAGCGACAAGACTACCCTTTTGATCCATGCCCCATTCAGAAAAAGAACCCGAGTTTGCCAAAATGATGCAAGTTCTTGTTTCTAAGGGGAAAAAAAAAAAAAAAGTTGTATTAATACGATCCTTCAACCCTCCCCCAAGCATAAAGTAAGGTAACCACGAAGGTACCAGGCCGCTTAGAGGTAGACGCTTCCAAGAGAATACAAAAAGCACGTCTCAAGATGGAGTTTCATTCCGAGTGACTTTGGAAGCGCTGCACTAAGAGCTCGTGTCCCGCCGTGCCGGCAGGCCTCCCGTGCGGCACCAAGGCAGCCTGCTCGGGCACCCGCTGCCGGAGCGAGGCGCAGCGCAGCAGGGCCCTGCTGCGAAATGGAGGCCGGCCGTGTTTTGAGCCTACTGCCCACCCCCTGGAGCACACGCCCTGGCTGACGTGTTTGCTTATGACACTGAAGGAAAACAAGGCATACCAGGAACTGATGTTCCTCGGCAAGGATTTTGTTTGCTGTGGGAAGTTCATAGATTAGGTACTCAGTGTTACAGCAGCTGATGTGATTTTTATAGTCATATTTGAGGCCCTTAGAAACATGTCTATACAATTTGTGAGCTGTTAACAACAGCACCTGTCCCTTGGCAACAATATATGTATATATATATACACACACACACAAAAAGCAGTGCAACAGATCTCTGACCCTGGCTACCTCCTGAGGGCTCTGCTTCAGTGTAAGAGATAACCCCAATTTCCTCTCAGGAGTAACTGACCCTTTAGTGGGTCATTTACGCAGGTACAAACAAGGTCATGTCATTTACATGGGCACAGGGAACATTCCTACTGCCCAAAAGCAAGTTAGTCGCTAATGCTCGCTTGGTGCCCCTCACCGTGCCCAAGGGCTCTGCACAAAAGGCAGAAATACAGACTAGTCCTAGGTAGCGCAATAGGCTCCCATTCCCTCTGTGCCAGTGTAAAGGGCTACTCGGTATGAAAGGCAAGTCGGTCCCCTTTCTCTGAACAAACTCCTGGAAGGAATCCCAGTTTTTCACTCATCATTGGGATGAAAGGTTTTTTTTTTTTTTAGCTGGAATTAAAAAATAAGGCGAAATTCTGTTCCTAGTTATTTCCTTAAATGTAAAAATTGTGCCTTCGAAATACAGGTTTTTTAATTCATAAGAAAAAAAAAGATTTAAAGCAATTCCCTGTTTTTCAGGAATGCTGTAAGGAAAGAAGGCAAAGATCTGCAGAACAGTAAGAATTAGTAAAAGAAAGTGTGTTTCACATTAAAGGGAAAAGATCAAGCTGATTTTATATCAACAACAAAAAAGCAACCACCCTAGAGAAAACAAGCGCACAAATACTTTACTCCTTTCATAAATAATGTATTTTATTGCATATGGCTATTAAGGAGAGCATCCATGATCAATACAGACTAAATACAATACACTACTCTAGTTCCATTTATTCTGGTCTCCAGCAGCATCACATTTATCCTTATATACAGCGTGTACATTGGAAGACACAGCAAGATAAGTTAAGTCTCTTGTCATATCACAATAGCAAGAAATATATTTAACATCTTGATATCCAGAAACAATACGTACCCATAAAGAAAACACTGCTTAATAACTGGTTATATAGCAAAAAATATTTTAAATTTAAGGTAAGTCAGGCAAAATGTACAAAGACCCAATATACATTGTGAAGTTTTAGCAAACATAACATTTATACATTTTGGTTCCATTCTGTAAACTAAATTAAGAATGTAAGTATTGCATATGCCTTTGTGAAATATACAGGATAGAGAAGAACTGACTACATAGTCAAGTTTTTGTTTTGAAGTTGCTGTATGCATAATAGCCGTTTCTTTTAGTGGCGTGATTCCAGGATTGGTACAGAGGGCTACTTCAAAATAGGAGTTAAAACATTGTATTCAGCAGGTACCACAATCAGTGCTACTGTGTGTGTGGCAAAGGTGGGGAGAGGGAAGGACTGACAAAAAATGTCATCAACTCTATTTGTTTTTCTAGTTCCAGAACTCAACAAGCAGCATTTTAGAATGTTTTAGAACCTTTTATAGTGCCATTAAAAAAAAAATCCCAAAGCCCAAACAGATAAATTAGATATTTAAAATGATTTTTAGATCTAATATTATACAGCCTACGCATTGCTGCGATTTAAAACCCCAGAAAATTACACTGAAAAATAAGGTGTGCCATGGGTTAGGGAAGGAGTTACTTTACATTCATCTTTGTCTTGTAATACAATCCTCAGTTCTAAAAAAGTCAGCATGTAAGCAGGAAGACTGCATTGCCATTCATTACATTTGTAAGACACTGACTCTTGTCTTCCTCACAGAAAAGAAAAAAAAAATCCCAAAAGATAATGCATTAAGAGTGATGTACAGGTTCCACCTAGCATAAGGATTAAAAAAAAAAAAAAAAAACTCACGTAATCCAGATAGCCTAGTAATACTTATATGACTGTCAGAGCAGGCACTGGGGAGGTACCCTTAAAACGTATGTGAGTTCTTCAACAGATTTACCAGAGGAGAAACTAGGTGGCATGGCATTCTGCTAGCCTGGTGCAACAGTTGTATATGATATTTGTGACAACAGCCACCACATTGGTTGTATTTGCAGAATACAGGAAACGTGATAGATGGGTAGTCCTGAAAACAGCTCTGGATAAGTGACTGCAATGCTCCTTCTTTTCCCCGTAATAATAATGCCTGTAGCTGCAATGCCACTTTTCTGGCAGAAGGCAAGTACCAGGACTTTCTGAACAGCAAGGTAATACTGTGTTAACATTAGCGCTTCGATCCGTCCAGCATCCATTATCATCCCTGCATTTCTAGCAAGTCTACGTGGATTTTTGGTTACAAGAAATGCAGCTAAGGACAGGGTTAGCTGACAAAAGTGAGTTTGTAAATAGGAGAAAAGGCTTTTGCAATCTGAAGTACCTACATAAACACCTACATAGAGAGGATAAAACAAGTGTGTCAAAGGTAAAGAGAGATACCCCCAATACAGTTTGATATTTTTAACTTATGTTGCTTAAGTTACACATTTTAACTATACTTAATCCTTCGCCCCAAGTCCAATGCACGGAGTTTTGTCTTATATTAGGCTCTTTAGTGCCCACGTCAGGCTTTGCCTGATAAGTAAACACTGCAGCTAGGGATCGAGAACCACCCAGCAGCTCGGTACGAGTTCGGTAAGGCCGATGACTGTTCTTGAGATACTCAGCACAGAGATACAGGAGGTCCTGCCGCACACCGACACTGCAAATCCGGCTTTACTTTGAACTGAGGTAGTACTGTGATGGGCTTGAAATTATGCCAGTAAATACCAGATTTCGCTGCTTTAGCAGGTGTTACAGAATCTCCTAATATGCCGAAGAATAAATACAGTTTGTCTTTGCAGAAAAAGGAAATGAAGGCATTGGCCTGTAGTTAAAGAGGCCGGCAGAAAAGTTCCAACTAGCTAAAGAGCGTCTTGAACTTCTGTCAAAACAGCAGCAAAATGGTATTGTAGATGCCAATGACAGGTAATGAGTTAGGCAGGTTGCTTTCCCTTCCTTGCAGATTTGTTGTACAGTTTAGCCCACAACAGTTTGAAAGTTAAGTAACTGTCCGGACCAACGATAACAGCAAAAGTAAACCTTAAGCAGCTTCAGTTAAAAAAAAAAAAAAAAAATGCCGAGCAGCTTCTTTGAATGTTGTACTCTGTTGTTTGAGGTCATGGTGATAAAACTAACTCCTTCACTCTGAAAAGAAAAATGAAAGAAAGTCAATAAAAGCTGCAACAAAATCTTACCGAAGATTTAAATAATACAAAAATACCACAAAGAATTTATTCAGATGGGATTTCATGAAAAGACTACAGAATAACTGCTTTCATATTTTGCATATATCATAAGATTTGCAAAGGGAATAAAAGGCAATCTTCCCAGTCAAATAGTGCTTCATTTCTAGAGGACTTTCTGGCTTCTGTCCTTCAAGCTAGCAAGACAGAGGAGAAAAAATCAGTTAGGAAACCTAACCCCCACCCCAAGTTCAAGTTGTGACCCTCATTCGCTTTTCTCAACAGCATGGAAAAAAGACATCGCAGAAAGTAGGTACCCACTCAGCTCTTCTTTTGCCTTAGTGTTATCAAACACTGTCTATCTCCAGGCATTACAAACAACAGTTGCTTCAAATTGCTCACATACCTGCCTCTTTACTTTATGAAATAATAACTATCTAGCAAATCAGATAACTATATTAGAAGGTTACGCCCTTGTACTCCCTGCTTACACTTTTGTTTGGAAGAGTCTTTCCCTGAGTACAAAACAAGCAGAAGGTATTCTCTCCAGGTTATGGTCTATAAAGCTGTTTTAAAGAGTCAAGGAGAACTATAAAGTTGATTATAAAGCAACCTATCCTATTTTAAAGAACCCAGCTGACCCACTTGGTATTTTTTCATTGCAAGGAATTAATGGAAATTGCATGCCACTGCCATAATGCAACATGATCATATTGCTTAACTTACAACACTAAGATGATTTGTTAACATGACCATTAAAAATCAGCATTCTTTAGCACTTTCCTCATTATATAGAATTTTCCAGTGCTCTGTAATATTTAAAAGGCAGAAATGCATAAACAATAGTGATCAAAATACTCAAGAGTCTGTAAGATTTAAAAACACTAACACCTCATTTTGAAAGCTGCCAATGAAGTGTCATATCCTGATACAATCCCAGCTGCAACATTACATTGATGTTGTATTTATATCAGCAAGTTTTAATCCACATAAGCATCAGCTGATAAACCAATACCAAGGAATTTCTTCAGAACTATACAAAATCAGAAGCTGACATATCTTGGCACGTATGTGAGAATTACTAAATTGCTATTGAACCACAAAAGCTAAAGGTTTACTTAATGAATATGTCCTGTCAAATTCAATTGGATCTGCTATATGATCAGTTTATTGAGATGTTACTTAGGATTTCGTTTCATGATACAGTTTAAGATGACTTTAATAGCCTGCCTAGACCAAAAGGAAAATATCTCACTGTCCCCACTCGCCTCCTTCCCTCTTTCCTGTTCCTTGCCATTTACTTAGTGCCACTTCTCAGGTCAGATTAGTAAATCAGTTCTACATATTCAAGCTTATAAAAATAGCTGTGTTGTTTTGTTTTTCAAATTAGGAACTTAATTGGCTTGTGATGCAACCAAGGGACCCCCCAAAGCTGGCAGCAAGATAGACGGGGAAGATGCAAAGAGGAGGAAGAAGGAGCTGATGGAGTAATAGGAAAGCTAGTATAAAAGAAGCAGGATTTAGAAAGGGTGAAGGGTAAGCAAGATTTCTTTTTTTTTTTCTTTTTGGCTGCTGGTGAACTGTAAATCCAGCTGCTGAGGATGCTGATGATCCTATAACACGAAACTACGTCTGCAAAGTGTTTTGTAAACTGCAAATCTGTAGTTTGGAATCAAAAGAAAACTGGAAATATGGACGGCTCTCAGCAGGAGCAGAGGTCCCTCTTTTGGGGTAGAACTGCCTATCAAACCATGTTGTTCCACCTTTCATTCAGAGGAGCAGGATGTGTGTGGGCAAACAAGTGAGCAACTGAGGATACATCGGGAATCTGCATTATTGTTTTCCTATTCCTTCTATTCCAAATGGAAATCAACCTGCTGACTGAATTTAGGTTACCACTCCATCAAAGAGACCATGTGATAGTGAAAGCCAAATATAGCTAAAAAAAAAAAAAAAAGAAAGAAAGAAAAAAATCCTGTGCTCAAACGGAAAAATCAGAGAGAGAGATTTTGTTCATGCAAAGAACACAAACATTTACCTTCAAGAAGAATGCCAAGCAAAGACAGTCATTAGGGAGGTTTATTAGCGCTTGAGTAATTTTGCTGTTGCCCTGGCTGCCCAACAGGTACTTTCCAGACAGAAATAAACTGGAGAAGGTGTGGAGGTCCCTGCTTCAAAGCAATTCCAAGCCTAGATCTCACAGTTTTGTAGGTGGATGGTAGGAACTGTGAACCTAAGCCTAAGAGCCTAGGGCTATGATGAACTCAAAGAGTCTATGTTGATGACATAACTACCATGTAAGACAGATAATACCAGTGTCAACTTCATAACAAGCCTAGTTTTAAGAAATAAATAGCAAGTTTCAAGCCGAAGTTAAAGACAATTTATGTCAATATCACTGCTAATTTTTACTTCAGTCCCTAATATCTTTGATATTAATGGCTACTAATAATCTAACATCATTAATACCTATCTCATGTCAACATTTCACTTATTATCTATGACTATAATCCAAACAAGGATATGTTGCTTTTACGTGGTGGCCAAATATTCATATGGGACACAAACACATTTTTGATAGCATCACCCCCACAGAGGCACACACAACTCAAAATACAAAATACAACACTATCTCAATGCACAAATTTTCTCCAAATGTTTTTAGTTATGATTAAGAAAACATCCATCATTAGTGCTGCATTTCCAAAATGACTTAAAAGTCCTTTGATCCCACTAGTGCATCCTGTGGAATAGGACACATAATAAACACACGCAAAAATTGCTAGAAAGCCACTAAATACTCAAAGATTGTTAAATATACTGTGAAGAGAATACAATAGTTGGTCAATTAAAGAAGATTCAGCCTGTTTATTAATCTTCAGAGTCGGCAAGCAATGAATAAGAATTTTCCTAATTCCTAAAAATTATTCTCCTCTGCTTACAAGCATGCAAACAGGAACAGCTATTCATGTGGCTCATGGCAAAGCACTTATTCAACTGGCAGCACGATCGCTAGCGCAGATAAAGCTCTGGGCTCGGCACAACCGGCTCTGCTCCACGTTGTGACTTTAGGCAAATGGCTCCGCGGCTCCGTCCCTTTGCTTCCCCTCCCCGTGCCGCCTGCCAAATCGATTAGGGCTCTGATCCTGCTAACTAACTTTTCCTGGAAGAGCAATCCTGTTGATATAGCCGAAGCTGAAGGTTAACGGCGTCTACCTTTGCGGGCTTCAGGCCAGCCCGCTGGGCGCTGGAGCCCAAGCGAGCGAACCCGGCCATCGGTTTACCGGCGCACGCAGGGATTACGCTGCCGCACCTTGGCAACGCTCCCCCGTGCCCAGAGCGGTCAGCGTCAGACGGCCGCGGAGGAGGGAAGGGAGGCGGCATCGCGACGCAGGGCCCCGCGCGGCAGCCGGCGCCCACGTGGCACTTGCAGCAGCGCGAGAGGGCTCAGCCGCTTAGTGCTGCTCCCCTCACGTGCGTCGCACTGCACAGCCGCCGTCGCCAACGGGAGGCACCGGGAAAACACACAGAGCGGCTCCCCAGCCCTCCTGCTCAACAGGAGCCAAATCCTCACTTAGCTCTGACCACCGCTAAGCAATTTACTCAGTAATATACTTAGCATTAAGCACACAGGTAGTGCTACTAAGGATAACAGAGCCACTCATGTGCCTCGCTACGGTACATGACTCACAGGTAATGCCAGGGAACGCGAATCCCATTCGGTTAATCATCCGAATCATGGCCATCATCGCAGGTAAACCGATGCCCTAGCAGCACTTCACAGCAAAACAACAAAGAAGTACACTCTAGGAGTTTACTAAGCCCATGAATAATATCAATCCAAAACAAAACACCTCCAGGTTCAGTGGGAGAAACAAGTTAAACCATGATATCAAGAAGACATCTTGTTTTGTTTTTGTTTTTCAAAACAAGTCATGGTTAGTCAGACTTTGAGACATGCTGCCACTATCTAAACATGCTCTTTTGGTTTGTTATTCCCCTAGGAAAGAGGACAGAATGTTATTTGGAAGTTGCTGTTTTATGAATTTTGGAGTGGGTACCAGGTCAATACAGGTTCTTTGTGACCTGAATAGTAAAACTATTCAATTTCTCCAAAGAAGCAAATCGGGATTTTGTGGACACCGCTCCTTACATTAAAATGAGCTTTATAGCACTTTGATCAAACAGTTAAAATTGTAAAATGGACTGAATTGCATTAATATGAAGAAGGAGAAAGATATTATCTTCTAAAGTGGGAAACAAACCACCAGATCATCCGAAAAAGATGCTGTGTGTCAGCACTTACAACTATATTATTCTTTTTTTCCCAGCACACACATGGGAGAATAAAATGTTCATCTGGCAATGTGGACAAATTCCCACAATTCTTGATGAGTGTTAAGTTTCTCCCAAAGATACTAAAATCAAGGACGGTTGCATTTAATGCCATATATTTGCACGCATGCCAGAATTATTTTCACTGTCATCTTTCACTAGAGTATAAGGAACTGAGTCTACAACAGACACACACATGACAGTGAGGGCTACACTTACTGATTTCAGAATTCAATATAATTTGCGTTTCAATACCATTTTGTCAAGGTTCTCATAGATTTTCTAGTATGAATAACTGAACGTTAAAATGTAATTTTGCGGAAAATAAAGGATTAAACTTACAAATGCCATTACGATTAATTTATAGCTAAAGTGCTAGTCCGGAAATGCATTTCCCATATCAATTATAACAAAAACAGGCACTTTAAATTTGAAATTAAGAAACTAGACATGCTCATTTTCCAGGTTTAATTTAATACATTTGCTATTAAATCTCTTAATTTCAGAGCTAAAGTTGCTGTATACCATTAAACAAGTTTGTATAGATGTGACTTAATCCCATGATTAGGAATAAAATAAATTAAGCAAAAAAAAAAAAGCACTGTTTGAAATTTGTTCAATTACCCT